TTATTGCTAATGCATGATATATAAATCTGTGTTGTATTAATATGTTAAATATGTGTGGGTGAGTGTGTTTGTGTGTGTATCATGCATTATCAATAATTCAAATACTTTAAAAACGAATAGAAAAAAAATTTCTAGGTGCTGTCCAGTAAAAATAAACGGAATAATTTAAGTAGAATTTAATCCGAAAATACTGGTAAACATTGTGTGTGTGGGGGGGGGGGGGTGCGCGTGCGTGTGTGCGCGTGTGCGTATGTATAAACTAAACTATGTACTACTTAATTATAATTCATTACAATTCTTTGTATTAGATATTTGTTAAAATGTTTATTTAAATGGAAACAAACGATACAGTTTTATATTCTGAACTTAACGATAACAATACTTATGATTACCTAACGAACATGTTAGGTAATCATAAGTATTGTTATCAATATTTAACATATCATTGAACCCCCCTAGCAAAAATCTTAGTTATTCATCTGTTACATCATCATCAGCTTTTTCACTGTTGTCATCGAATATGTCATTATTACTTAGTGAAAAAGAATCATTAAAAACATCATTTTCAAGTTGTGGAGTAGTTTTTGATGACGATGTTGATGACATAATGATAATATCCTCGGGATCTCTTTCTTGTTGTAGCATTATATTGCCCTGTGCATCCATTTCTTCTGATCCTTGTGAAGTTTTCATTTTATCTTCTTTAATTTCACTGGAATCATTTACATCATATTTTGTTGAATGTTTGCTGCGTTCTTTATTGCTTATGTTTCTATCGTTTTCTTGTTTACGGCGTTTCTTTGATGTTTCATTAGGTAATTTAACACTTTCATTGTTCCGCGCAGGCCTTTTTAATTCCGAAATCTTCTTTCCGATAAAATAATCAAATTTATTTAACTCTGATAAGTAATTCTTCTTCTGATCTTTATTTGGTTTATAGACATTCTTCATCCAGTAAATATCAAAATCTGTAATAATTATATGTTTAATTTATGAAATGGATGTGTGTGTGTGCATGTGCGTGCGTGTGTGTGTGTGTGTGTGTGTGGACTGCGCGTTCCCTACTTCACTCGCGTGAAAACATGCGCCAACTTTAGAAAGAGATAGCTGGTGTGGGACCGTATCTTTATCTTTGTCGAAATGAAGTAGTGGGGGTAAACAAAAGAGTAGAGGAACGATAGATAGACAGAGAAAGAGCTACTACGTAGACAGAGAAAGAGCTACTACGTAAGCATGTTGTCTCTTTCTCAGGTGTGCAAACGTCTGCAGCCACAATGCGCAGTCTATATATACTATGTCTATGGTGTGTGCGCGTGCGCGTGCGTGTACGTGTAGTGGATGTGATCCTGCTTGATTAGATTTACTTAAACAAGCAATTATGGGAGCTTTCATAGAAATAAAATATTGTAAACGGCCAGTTTTACAGGATTTTAAAAGTTGTCAGTTCCTTAGCAGTACGCCGCCGAGAAACCATGCTTAAAGTGAAGTACACTATCTGCCCAGTTTTTTTAGAATTGTTGTAAAACACGTATGCGCAGATGAGTGTTATTTAATTACTTGCATCATGCATGAATCAGCTGCTCTTTCAATATTAAAATTAAGTTCAGGAGTATCTAGCATTTGAATACCAATTTAATTGACTCTAATTGAATATGTTTCGCAGGGGGAGAGCATTGCACGTGATCTTACCTTCGCATGCACCGTATTTGATCTCATCTAATTTTGGACACGGTTTTTTCCCTCCTCCTTTCTTATTACTTTCAAAGCCTGTTCTTGTACTGACCAATAATATTTCTTCTAAAAAGACTGCTGTCAATATATTACTAGCACACTGACGTGGAGTGCTACAACTATTTAGTATACTATTGTATGATTTATCATCTATCCATTGGTCTCTACCAATGTGAACCTAAAATAAGAATATTGTTCGTCATAACACTTTTTAAAGTAAATTTGTATAATAAAGGGAAAGCATTATGAGTATCATACAAAAATTAACTCACTCTTGGACAATTATCGGTGGTACGCAGTGATCCAATCGGTGGAAAATTATCTTGGTATGATATTTGTGCTGTTGTACTTTTTACTAATTTTTCTATCATAACTGTAAATAAATTGTAGCATACATAAAAATTTATAAAAATTAATACTTATTTAACTCTTTAGTACTTATTGCAACATATTTAATATGTATATTCATTTTGAGATGCTTAGGAAAAATAATGAATACATAAAGTAGGTGTGTTTATATATAATATGTACCGACCACACAGATGATTTTAGTCATTAAATAAAAAAATTTATATAAAAAATATTCCATAAAATATTGGAGTAATATTTTTTAATAATTTAATATTTTCTAGTAGAAAAAAGCTTCGCTACTAAAGGATTAAAATTAAAATGTCTAAAGTTGCAAAAGATGATTTTAAAAAACCATGTTTATATGAAGGTAAAGTTACAGTGAATTTTCGAGAAAAAGTTGTTCATTTTCGTTACATATCAATAAAGTTTATAGAAGTTGATGATTGTAAACCTTCTTTATTATATATTCTTTATTTATATTTATTTAAATATAAAACGTTTCCTTCTCTTAAGAAAATTTGTAGAAAACTATATGTTTTAGTGTTTGCAAATATTTCAAAAATTTAGATTTTGATAGAAAGAAAACTGGGGAGATTTTTTAAATTACTATTCTTACAATTAGTAAGAATCTAATAACTAATCTACTAATACTACTACTATTAATACTACTGCTACCTAATTTAATACTACAAAGTAACAGGTACTCAGCTTTACCTTCTATTCTATTTTATGCCATTCAAATATATTATTTTATAAGGTTTATTTTTTCTCTTACCATTGTACTCTTTACTTTTCTCTATTACAGAAAGCTGCAAATCTTCATTTAGGTTTCTTACTTTTTGCAATTCAGAATTCTTTGATTCTAATTTTTCTTTTAGTTCACGATTGGTGTTTCTTAATTTTTTATTTTCAGCCTCTAAATCTTTATTTTTTGCTTGTACCTTACAATATTCAGCTTGTACTTTTTCTAATTTGTTAGAATTTGCATTACATTCTTCAAGTGAATGAACATTAGTAATCTGTTTTATCTAAAAATAAAGAACGGAATAAATTGTCATGTTTAAAGAAACATTTGTTAATATACATACATATATCATTGACGTTTTTAATA